TGTTTTCTCGAGGGTGACTGAGGCATCCCACCGGCGAAGCCGAGGGCTCTGTCTCATTATTTTCTTTACGCTAAGTGCAGATAGACGAGGGATCACCACGCTCCGAGGTGACAAGGTGACGAGGTGAGGTGAAGAGGAACTTTGCTTCATTCATTCATTCATTACTTTCATCAAAAAATTACATTCATCTGTAGTACATCCGGAGGTTCTCCAAGTTCCACGTCCAAAGGACGGGTCTCCCATCTAAGTTTTCCAGCCGAAATGTACCAGGGCTGAGAGCTTGCTTAATCCGGTAGGGGCCTTCCCAATTGGGGCCCAATTTTCCTACTCTAGGTTCGGAAACCATGACCTTCCTAAGGACAAGGTCTCATTCTCTATAGTGCCTTTCTTTCACTCTGGAATTGTAGTAGTGGGCCACTCACTGTTGATAGGCAGTCATCCTAATTTGTGCTTGTTCTCGGGTTTCTTACAGTAGGTTTAAATTTGCTTTTAGCGCTTCGTCATTCTCGGCTTCGGTATACCCTTGGATTCGATGCGTTGGTTGGCCAATCTCACTGGTATCACTGCTTCCGTGTTGTAGGTCAGGCCGAAAGGGGTTTCTCCCGTCGTTGTCCGAGGTGTGGTTCGGTATGCCCAAACGACACTGTGTAGTTCATCGACTCACAGGCCTTTAGCTCTATCCAACCTGGTCTTTAGTTCATCCAGGATGGTTCTGCTCGTGACCTCGGCCAGGTCGTTCGTCTGGGGGTAGCCCACCGAGGTGTATTGTTGCTTGATGCCGAGGAAGGTGCACCATTCTCGGAACTTAGTGCCATCGAACTGTTTTCCATTGTCCTTGACCAGCATGTGGGGGAGGTCGAAGTGGCAAATAATGTTCTTCCAAAAGAAGTTCTGAATTGCCCGCATAGTGATAGTGGCTAGGGGTTCGGCCTCCACCCATTTAGTGAAGTAATCCACAACAACGACGAGGTACTTCATACTTCCCATTGCCTGAGGGAAGGACCCGAGAAGGTCCATCTCCCATTTGGCAAAGGGCCAAGGGCTGCTGAGGGCCGAAAGGGTGGTGGCTAGTTGATGGCAAAGGTTGGCATGTCTCTGACACTGATCACATTTCCGCACCAGCTCGGCCGCATCTTTGTGAAGTGTCAGCCAGAAGTATCCTTGCCTTAATGTTTTCTGGGCTAGGGTCTGGCCGCCGAGGCGATTGCCGCAGATGCCTTCGTGAATTTCTCGGAGCACATACTCACCCTCCTCCTTGCCGAGGCAATGGAGGTAAGGCAAGGTGAAGGACCTCCTATACAATTTTCCTTCTAGCAAAGTGTAGTGCGTTGCCTGTCGTCAAAGTTTTTGGGCTTCGTTCCTATCATCGGGCAGCTTTCCCGTCAGTAGGAAGTCGATGATAGGATCCATCTAAGACGGTTTGACCTCTACGGGTAGGATTTGGATGTCCACTATGGGGGGTCGAGCTAATCTTTCCACGTGCACAATGCAGCCGAGGGCCACATCCGAGGTGCTCGCCAATTTGGAGAGGGCGTCGGCTCGGGAGTTCTCGGCTTGTGGGACTAAAGTTTGAAAACGACATGTTAATGTTAAGATTACCTAAAAGAGGGTGAAATGTCCCGAAGAAGGGGAGAAGTAAAAAAGTTCTGGAGAATTGAGAGTTGGGGAGTTGCGTTCACTCGAGAGCCAGGGCCCCTATTTAAAGAAAAATGAATGGCTTGGATTTCTCTAAATCTGATGGCTGAAACTAATCCGCTCCTACCATCCAATTGTGACACGCCACCTAGCGCAAGTCCTCGGAAGATGAAACGATGCCCAAAGCAACGGTTCAAATTGATGCAGATCCAACGGATGCAGGAGCCCCCTAGCACAGACCCTCGGAAGATGAAACGATGCCCAAAGCAATGGTTCCTATCGACCCAGATCCAACGGATGCGGGAGCCTCGCGCTTTAAGAACCATGAAGCCCAAACTTGGAACACGAGCGTGCTGGCAAATTACTCCACCTGACCCTCGCAAATTACTCCACCTTGATATCCCCGCTCGGGTTACAAGCTGTCGCACCTTGATACCCCCGTACGGAGGCAGCAGGGCTCCTAACTATTGCTGACGCTAACAGGCGTTAGTATGTGGGCTGGGCCAAGGTAACCCCACATCACTCACCAACTGGGTCATGTAAAACCTTGCTTCCATTGGGAATCAAACACAAGACCTCCCTGGGTCATGTGTTAATCGAAATTGGATTTCAATCATAGCTGAGGAAGCTGAGAACAACTTGTCGAAGGCTAAGGGATTTGGCCAATTACAGGTGCTGGCTAAGGAATTTAAGTGGTGCAGGGGTAACACAAGATAACATTGGAGAAGTTGGAACATACGGTTTTCGTGTCTTTATGAATAACAAATTTCTTCGGGATGCAGGTGGTATTTTGAGTGCTGCGAAAGACTCAACAAAAGCAGAATAGGGTACAATCTGGACTGCTATTGGTTTTTCTTAGATTAAGGATGGAGATCTGTTGTTTTGCTTTCTGATTCTAGGAATGCGGTGGAAGCAGAATTGGGTACAATCTGGACTGCCATTGGTTTTGCTAAAAGTGAAGGATCTAGATTTGTTTTGTTTTCTGATTTCTAGATACTATAGTCTTGTTTAGACTGTCTAGATAAACTCCAATCACACTTATTATTTTTTGATCAATTGGTTAAGTTTATTTTTGTTCTTGGGACTATGAACTATGCCACGCAAACTATAGCTCAAAAGCCAAAGTTTTCTGTTTACTCTTGTATTTGGTGGTACTATATCCGCCTCTATGGCTTGAACTGTTTGTAGAAAAAAGCAATTTATGCTTCAAATCAGTTTTATTAAAAACATTCATAGAACAATTAGTTTTTACGTCTATCTAATGAATATTAAATAATTTATACACAGGACGAAAGGAGGAAGAAAGAGATGGATGAAATCAGAGTCGCTGCTGCTGCATATTATGAGAATTGTCCAAAAGGCGAAATCCAGGAAGTGGAGAAGACCTTTCGAGACCTAGATGCAGACAGTAAAGGCAAAGTAAGCTTTAAAGAGTTCGATGCCTTCTACTCTGCTACTGGGGTCACTGATGAACTCGTTTACTTAGACCGGGACGGCGATGGATATCTCGATCTCCAGGATGCAATTGTCTATTACTACATTGATAAGACGAGAGCTCGATGTCAAGTTTGCAAACATTTTATAAATGGTATGTACTATTCCTGCATTGAATGTTTCGGTCAGAAGGGAAGTTTTGGCGATCGTAAAACATATAATCTCTGCTTCTCCTGCTATCCCACTGGGAGACTGGACCACCCACACTTCTTCTTGGATAACTACACTTTTCTTCAGATGATACTCAGTGCACCCACAAATGAAAACAAGGTAAGATGGAGACTTTCTTCTTGGAACTAAATTAGATTTGGTTCGTGATTAAAGAAATAGTTATAGAGATCGAGTGGGACTCTATCAACAGATAGCTACACTACAGGAAGAGAACGAGGTATTTACCGAGGATATTGCAACAGTTGAATCCACCCAGACAGATAATTCGGTATGGTACTTTTAATTACTTGAAAATATTTGTATTTTCTTTGGAAGGTGATTTTTGTGGTATTTCTTTTGTTAGTTTAATCTCTAGGTGTTCCTGCATTTGTCTTTTGCTTCAAAATTTAATATCATTGGTGACATAATCATGGATTTGAAAGCAGGACGGAACCGGACGGTCGGACCGGTTGACCTGGGAACCGGTCAGGTAACCGGTTCTATTTCACCTTAAAACTAATTTTGACCAAAAACCGTTGATTTGGTCAGGGACCCAATGATCCGGGCGGTCAAACCATCAACCCATTGACCCAAACAATGTTTTTTGGTCATTTTTATTTTATTGTTTTATTTATTTATTTATTTTTTAAGTCAGAACAGGCCATCCGTTTGAACCAGATGGTCAGGCTGCTGTTCGACCCAGGAACCAGTCCCCAGAATGGTTCCGTGTCTGGTCCAGTTTTAAAATCCTTGAACATAGTTCTTTATTCTCAATCTGTGGTTTAAAACAATTGAATTGATTTTCATTTTATAGGTAAGATTAATTCAACAATCTCAACGGAAATTTTCTTATAGTTATTTAGTACTAGCAGGGACCCGTGCTTTGTTAAAACAACTTTAGGAAATAGAGCTAGGAGTGCAAGTTGGGTGTACCCAATTCAAGCCCAACCCGGTTCAATCAAAGCGTTTGCATACGTTGGGTTGGAGTTTTTGAACCTTAAGATGGGCTTGTGCCAAAAAAAAACTCAAGCCTAAAATAAACTCAAATTGGGCTTGGGTTGAGGTTTTAAGTTTGCCCAATTATATATATATATATATATATATATATATATATATATATATATATATATATATATTGCATCCAAACCCTCCCCGCACATGAAAATGCAAAACCCACCCCATATTCAAGAGTAGGGGTACGTTGGTTTTAAAACCCACATCTAATTTCCTATTATTTCTTGTTATATAAAAGCACTAAATAAGTAAAATAACATAAATAAACAACATAATTTTCAATTATTTGATTAAGATGTAAAAGAACACATTAACTATCAATTATCGTTTACATCTAATTCAAAATATTATTAAATTCAACACCTAGTACATAAAGCTTATAAGCTTTCCAACAAAATACAGGTTGAGGGGGTTGGGTGTAGCCTAATACCATACCCTACCCATAACGTACGGGCTGTAGAATCCCAAAACCCGACTCACCCCAAAACCCATCCTTCAAACAAAAAAACACGTCCCATCAAAGTGGGTAGGGGTGGATACTCACCGAATAGGGTAGAAATTGCAATCCCTAAGCTCGAGATAGTTAGTTAAGGTTGAGTTGGGCCTAGGTTGGCAAGCTCAAGCTTATCCTTGAATTGGGCCAAGCTTGAGCTTGAGGTTTGAGACTTAGGATTGGATTGACTGTCAATTTCACCCAACCCACTCAAGTTGCACCTGGTAGGGACCAGTGCGATGCACGAGCTTTGTTAAGCGAAAGCTAAACAATAAAAACATATAAGAGTAAACAGTTCTTTTATATTTTAACCTTTTAAATAATTAATAATTAGTTATATTTTATATACTACTTTTAATAATTTTTTACAATACAAAAATAATAATAATTAATTTCATCTAAGTTGTTCATCAAATCGGTGAAACTGATCAATACGCCCCAACTCGACTCGAGTTGGCTGGTTTTCTAGTATTTATGGTGGGTTTTAATTCAACAATTTCCCAACGTAATCAGGTCGGGTCAGTTTCGGTTTGGCAATTTGTAAATTGGCAAAAACCAAGCCGAACCGACCATTATTATCATTATTTTGTGTTTTTAATAAAATTTTTAAGGTTATTACATCATTTCATTATTTAATCTATTTTATTTGTTTTTAAATAACATTTAGTATTTAATTTTTTTTAATATTTATATTATTTAAAATATTTAAAATTAATTATTTACAATATTATTTATCTATTTAAATAATATCATTATTTATTTATTTCAATATTACTTATTTATTGAATTTCATAGTTCATTAAAATTTTAGTTATACTATTATTACATAATTTCGTAATTAATTTTGTAAAATATAAAATTATTATTAATTCAAATATCATGAAATCTATTATAACAATTTTCTACTTTTAATAAAATTTTTAAGTTTATTACATAATTTTTTCATTTTAACTATATAAAATTTAGTTATGTTAAGCATTTTGTTATTTAAATATTGAAATAAAATGTAAAATATTTAAAAATTTTCATTATTTAAATTTTATTTATTTTAAATTTATTACATAATATTAAATATTTTGTGATATAATATTTTTATATTTCTAATATTTAGTTATTGAAATTTTTAAGTAATGTTTTTAATTTTTAATTTTTAATTTTATTATTTGAATAATATTTAAATTTAATAATTCATAAAATTATACATTATGTTGTTAGTACATAATTTTTTTATGAATTTCAGAAAAGTATAAAATTATTAATAATATGAATATTATTATATCTATGACATTTTTTGTGTTTTTAATAAAATTTTAAATTTACTGAATTTCATTATAATATCTAAATAATTCTTAAATTTTTTAATTCAAACATTCTTTTGTTTGATATGGATGAAATGTGGGGGATACGATAAATAGGAATTAGAAATAATTTAGGAGAGAAACTCTCTACTAAATTAGAGTTAATTTAGGAGAGAAACTCTCTAATAAATTAGAGATAGTTTAGAAGATAATTAGGAATTATATATAATTTAGGAGATAAATAGGAAATACATAATTTAGGAGAAAGTGGGGATAGTGGTGCCACTAGATTAGATTAGACTTTGGGTTCGGATTTTAAGTATAGTTTTAGGAAGGGATATCTAAAGGGATAATATAGAGGAAAGAGGGATGGGCCAAGCTTGTTAAGATGTCAAAATGAGAGAGGGAGAAGGGAGTGATGAGGTGACTTCATGAGAGAGCAGAAAAGACTAAAATGAAGAGGGGCTGAGAGTTCTGAGTTGGGATAAGGAAGAAGTTTCAAGCCATGAAATTGGGAGGGGGGAAGGGTTTTTGATTCCACTAAATTCTACAAAATAAATTGCTTTTGTTTTCATGTCACAAACCCCTGGTAATCGAAGGACAGGCATATAATAATATTTTGTTTTCTGTATTTCCGCTTGGTAAGAGTATGAAAACTCATATTTCTTGTTTCCTCTTAATTTTGACTCATGTACAAACATTTTTGCATGGTAATATAGCAGGAAGAGAAAGATGCAGACCAAGAGGAAAATGCCATAGTACCATCTACTATTCGATCAAATTCTTTGGTATGTTTTTTTTTTTTTTTGACAAGTTAAATTCTTTTGCGTGGCTCTTCCCATTAATTCAAATTTCAAAGAAATTACTTTTGATATTCATCAAAATCCACTGGACCCTTCTGCATCAAGCTCAGCCCTGTTTGAGCGTAAACACACACATGTGCGTAGACCAGAACGTACTAGGCCCAAGATCAGCCTAAATCCAGTCCGAAGTCATACATTAAGCCTTGTTGTAGGCCCAAGCAGGCCCAGACTACTCAAAGCAAAACTTGGAACTGACAGAATCATGTTAAGGGAAATTAATTTTGAGCCACAGATCTCTCAGTCTTGGCTGAACCATTTGGGCACTATGCTCAATCCTAGAAAACCTAATGAAAGTTCAATTAACATTCATTCTTTTTATTTTAAATTTTTATTAAAAAGATTTAGTATTGAAAAATATGGGTAGCTTGAAGCAAAAGTGGTCTGTCAAACCTGCTGCACCAACCTGAACTCGCACTGCAGGACTGCACCTATGTACTAACCACTGATAGATGGAGCAGAAACACATTAGTTCATCAAGTTTTCAAAGATTTCAAAAATTGATTATTTATAACCTACACCCATAATTTGATGTACAGGAGAAAGAGACGAAAAATGAGATCGATGAGATCCGTGAGGCTGCAGCCATTTATTACAATAGTTGTTCAAATGAAGAAAAGCAGAGAGTTCTAAGTATGTTCGTAACCTTGGATACTAACAATGATGGAAAAGTGAGTTATGAAGAGTTTGAAGCCTTCCCTTCTAGTGTGGGTTTACTGAAGCCTGCAATCGAAGATTTCATGGAATTAGACAGGGATGGCGATGGATATCTTGATTATCAGGATGCAAAGGTGTTGTATTATATGGATTTGACTAGGGAGATATGTCAAGTGTGTAGACGTTTTATCAAGGGTATGTACTACACCTGCGTAGAGTGTTTCGATCACAAAGGACGTCTCGGTGAACGCAAGACCCATAGTCTCTGCCTTGCTTGCTATGACACCGGAAGAGTGAATCACCCACACGTATTCTTGGACAACTATGCTTTGCTTCGAACAAGAAGTCTGTCTGGGAAAGGAAAGGTAGCTTTTTAAACCCTTCATGAGAAAATATAAAATAAGAACTCTCATTTACTTGATCACTTTCCATTTTTCTAGTAGTAATATAGTTTTTCTTTTATTGAAATTTAATTATCAACAGAAAAGTATACAACAGGAGGAGGAGGAAGACGAGGTGGTGAAGGAAATTCAAATGGAAGAAAAGGACTTAAGATCCCCTGTTGCATCAGACTCCATGGTATGGTTTTTCTTAAACTTGGTTAAATGCCTAGCAAGTGAACCCAGATTTCCCACCTCACTTTCTCTATCGGCATCCTACCCACACCCACAGTACACTGCAGCTGCACATCTTACAAATACAAGATGGCTATGTGTGAAGGCAATACAAGGCGGGTAGGATGTAGGTTGAGTGAAGAGGAAATCTGGTTTGAGAGAGAGATCAGAAAGAGAGCTGCCTTATTACAAACATAGTCTCTCAACGAACCACTTAAGCTGTCAATTAAGTGAGGTCCTTGAATAGGTTTTATTCTCTAACATGCCCCCTCACATGAAACCCCATTGGGCTTGAAGCATGGACAGAACAGGCCCACCCATACATTGTGCTGAAGCTTAATTAATTATAATGGGGTGACGAGAATTGAACATTAGACCACTTGGTCAAAGTGGCTCTGATACCATCTCAAAGGACCATTGAAACCTAAAAGCATAGCTGTTACGTGAAGTCCTTGAATAGGTTTTATTCTCAAACATAGTTGATGTAGTGCGATTTGGTCACTCCTACCTGGCAGGGGCCTTGCTCCTATCTGGCAACGGATAGCACCTGAAAGGAGAAGGTGAAGGATTCCTGGGGAGCTTGCCCGGCGGGAACACTCCGATGCTTAAGTTAGAACTCAGTGAAAAGCTTAGAGAGTAATGACGAGCTAAGAGTGAAGATGCGCACTACTCGATTACCAAAAATTCAATTACCTTTTACCTTGGGGGTCGGAGCCCTTATATATTAATGCGCTACCAAATCGGGTGTAACCGCCTCTGATTCTCTGCTACAGTCATTATTCATCAGGCTGGATTTGATTGGCGCAGGTATCAGTCGCAAGGTACGGTCCTGTCACTTGAGAGACGTTATGCAGATCTGGCGTGCATGACGCCGCCTGATGTGAGACGTTGGCGTAGTCCTCTGGACTGGCAGGTGCTGCGCCGCCGGACAAGAGACGTGGGAGCAGTCTGACAAGCATGGTCTTGTCAGATAAGAAGTTTCCCGAAGGATCCGGGTTACTCAATAGCGAGTTCCTTTGTAGCGAGCTCCCTCATAGCGAGTTCTAATAGCGAGCTATCTTGCAGCAAGCCATTCTGTAGCGAGCTGTCTCGTGGCGAACTGTTCTATTGGAGTTTCAGTGAGCTCATTACGCTGAGTTGTGGTCAGGCTGTCATACTGAGCTGTCACTTACGTCGAATCATATCCATGTGTCCCTTAATTAGGAGGTCGGGTCAAGTCACCCTCCATCAATAATCATCTCTCTCTCAACCAGATTTACTGCCCACTACTCTCCACCCACACCCTACCCGGCTACCCGCCTTGAATTGCAGCCACACATCATCAGATTATATTATGAAATGTTGTGCGACTGCAGTGTACTGTGGATAGGATGCGGGTAGGGAGAGTGAGTAGTAATTCTGGGTTCATATCCATGTATCTATCTGTTCAAATGTGTCTCTTAGGCTTTACTTGTGTGTATGTAGAGGTTTCTCCCTAGCCTTCTCTTCCTTCTCCTACCTTTTCTTCCACATCAAATACAGCCCTATTGTTTTCATATTTATATTTACACTCATAACTAATAATATCTTTTATCCTTCCCTTCCATCCCATACTTTTCGTTTGAAATCAAATATTTTTGTTGACACTGATAAGTATAATAATATATTTTTATTTCTTTGTCAGACTTTAGAAAACAGTTCAATATTTGCAGCCATGGCGCAAGAAGTGGCGAAAAGTACAGCCGTGGAATTTTTGAAAGATGTTCTATTGAGCCGATGTTCTATTATGTAATTATCCACTTTTTTCTTTTTGTTGATACAGTATGCATGATGTGGTGCTTGAATGTACAGATGAAGAACTTGTACAAGAGAATAATGTACAGACCATATACAATTCAGACAGCAGGTTTCCTAGTCTGTGGTTTAATGAGTTGATTTTTTTATGTAGATTTGTCAAATTAAATATGGAGTTGATAAGTCTCTGAGTTTTCCAACTCCACGACCTCTGTTGATGGAAAACATTTGGGCCCGAAACACCTTTCTGAATGTAAATAAAACTAGTTTCATAGCGATTTTCTTATATTAGAAAATATGACTGAACATCGAATGGTGGAGGATCCCATGCATTCACTCCCTCATTATCATTCTGTTTCTCCCATTCTCTTTAGAAGTTGTTCACTATTAAATTGTGGGAGTACTGAGCTTCATTTGGATCGCCAAATTCCATTTTATTATCATCAATTTCACCAAGTAGATCATCATATTCTTTGTATTCATTCATTCTCCTCATCTTCTAGGTATATATCCTGGTCCTTCATTAGTTTCCTATTCTGGATATGAGTGAGGTCTCCATTTGGAAAGAGAACCTTCTTCTAGCAGGCATGTAAGAGGACTTTCCTTTCTTCTCCTTCTAGACAAGACGTTCAACTGATCTTGTTTTTATGATTCTACTGCCTCTTTCTTTCATTTCGTTCCAGATTTTTCTAACTTCCATTTTTCTCTTAGTCACCACCATATTCCAATTTCTACCTTGTTCAAATTTCTTGGCTTGCCAGCATCTTCATGACATTGGAGTGCTAGGCCTCTGAGACAAGGCTGCCCTAATCTTCTTGGTCAGGGCAAGCTATTGACAAGCTGGCCAACCCTCCCTAGTTCTTCCACTCCTGCTAAAGACAACTCCAACCTTCCTGCTAAAGAGAGTTCCAGCCCACTTACCAAAGAGAGCCCTGGATCTCCTACCAAAGAAGGCTCTAGTTTTCCTACCAAAGAAGGACCAGCTACTATACAGAAACGTCTTACCAAAGAAAGATCAATCGGAGCAAAAAGGAAACTCTCCTCTTTGCAAGTTTTCAACTAAAGACTTTTCCTTATTTCTCTGTTTCTATTATTGTAATTGTTTATAATTTATTCCTTATTATTGTGTATAAATAATCAGTCATGTACAACCTTTCAATATAATGGAATTCGACCCATTCTTTGAAATTTATTCTTCTCTTAACTTTAACTTGGTATCAGAGCCTATGTCCTACAATACATCAGTTGCTTCTGAAGCAATGAGCTCAAGCTCAACCTTCTCTAAACTGCTTCTATACCAATGAGCCTTAGTTCAATTCCCAACATCTCACACTATCTTACTATCAAACTTAATGGAGATAATTTTCTTCTCTGGAAAGCTCAGTTGCTTCCAGTACTTCGAGCTCACAAACTCATGGGACTAGTTGATGGATCGGCCAAGCCTCCTCCAGAAGAAATACTAGATCTAAATGGCAACAGTATGATGATTCTGAACCCAGACTTTACTTCATGGGTGCAGTTATAATAGTTGGTCCTTAGTTGGCTCGTTGCCTCTCTTACTAAAGGAGTTTTGGCGCAAGTTGTTGGTCTCTCCACTGCTGTTGAGGTTTGGAGTGCTCTAAAGAGATCGTTCTCTTCTCACTCTTGATCCAGGGTGCTACAACCAAGGCACCAACTTCAAAATCTGAAGAAAGGAAATCTCATCATCAGTGACTACATCCAAAAAGCCAAAACCATCGCAAGTAATCTTTCTACAGTTTCAGAATTAGTAGTAAAGGAAGATTTGGTTCTATATGTCTTATCTGGTTTGGGAAGTGAGTATGAATCTCTTATAACAGCTATCACAAATCGAGTTGATGCAGATCAACTCAATAATAGTGATGTCCTTGTTTTACTTTTGAGCCATGAATCCTGGATTTTGCAACACAATTTTTTTAGTGAAAGTCCTAATGTGAATGTTGTCATAAACAATAAAAATACTACTAACAATTTTCAGAACCCTCAAAATTCCTACAATCAAAACAGGGGTGGCAACAATCGTGGTAGAGGCAGGGGCATGGAGGTCATTCCTCAGGCCGTGGATGTCAATTGTGTAACAAACTAGGCCATGGTGCACTGAAGTGTTACAAACGATTTGATTTGTCATATCAAGTTGAAAGCAGCTCGCATCCAGCAGATCCTGCAGCCTTTCACAGTGGTGTTCCTTACAATGGCTCTACAACTAGATCTAGATTTTATCCAATTTGGTACCTGGACACTGTTGCCACCCATCATATGACACCAGATGTTGACAACTTACAAGTTTGATTTGAATACCAAGGTTTAGATCAAGTAAAGATTGGTAATGGCACATGTTTGACTATAAACAATACAGGGTCAGCTTCATTAGTTTGCAATGATAATCAGTTTACTCTGAATGATATTTTTCATGTTCCTTCTCTTACCAAAAATTTGCTTTTTGTTAGTAAATTTACCAAGGATAATAATCTGATTTTTGAATTTCATTCGGATTTTTTTGTCTTGAAGGACCATACAGGGAGAATTTTACTCAGAGGACCTAGTAGAGATGGATTCTATCATTTTCCTGGAGCAATTCAACAGAGGATAGAAAACTTGGAAGCTTGTGTTGGAGAGAAAACCTCCCTGTCAAAATGGCATCAACGACTTGGTCATGCCTCCTTAAGAGTTGTGAAAAATATTATCTCTAAGTTTAGTTTACCTTATTCGAGTTCTTTTAGTTATCCTTTTGTGTGTGAAGCTTGTCAGATGGGCAAAGCCCACTGTTTAAGTTTACCGTCTTCAAATACGATTTTTTCTTCTCCACTTGAGTTGGTATTTTCTGATGTATGGGAACCTACCCCAACTTTATCTAATAAAGGATTTTAGCATTATGTTCTTTTTATGGATGCATATTCAAAATTTTCATTGGATATTTCCTCTTGAGAGAAAATCGGATGTATTTAATATGTTTCTTAAATTCAAGAACCATGTTGAGAATCTTTTCTCTATAAAGATCAAGATGTTTCAGAGTGATTGGGGTGGTGAATTTTGCTCTCTCTCTTGTTATCTTGACAATGCTGGTATTTTTCACCGTCTTAGCTATCCACATACGCATGAATAGAATGGCAGTGCTGAACACAAACACTGGTACATTATTGAGTCCACCTTATATCTATTGGCATCCTCTTCTCTCCCTTAGTCCTTTTGGGTCGATGTTGTTGAAACTATAGTCTTTCTTATCAATCGACTGCCTACTCCATGACTTGGTAACCTCTATCTTTATGAGAAGTTATTTAGCAAGCCTCCTGATTATTCTATGTTGAATGTTTTTGGCTGTGAATGTTTTCCTCTTCTTCGACCTTATAATTTTCATAAGATAGATTTTCGCTTCACTCCTTTTATCTTTATTGGCTACAGTAGCAATCACAAAGGGTATCATTGTTACAACCCTACTACCGGCAAGGAGATCATTGCTCGCCATGTTGTTTTTGATGGACATTCCTTCCCTGGAATGGTCCAATCATCACCATCTCCTAGTCCTGCTGCTCCTACTGGAGTTACTCTTCTCTCTTTGGGCTTCCATAATGCTGACACGTGTCTAACCTCTACTGGTTTTGTTCTTGAGGTATCTCCTGATCCCCTGCCATCTATATCTATTACTAATGAGGAATCTGCCACTTCTTCCTCTGTACCAGAACAAGAAGCTTCCATGAGTGATGATCCTTTACTAGTTCGGTGCACTAGACCTATTCAAGAGTTGCTAGACACAACCCCTACTGTGGGACCCCCTATTCGCACTCATACTATGACTACTCGGTCCATGGCATCCAGATCGGCTCAAGCTCTAACAGCTACTCGCCATCCTCTTCCTCTTGCTCTACTCCATGATGTTACTACTCATGAAGAAGAGCCCTCTTCCTACGGACAGGCTGCTAAATCTCCTTATTGGCGTTCTGCTATGGCTTCCGAGTTTCATGCACTACTTCAGAATGGCACGTGGGAATTGGTTCCCTATGATTCCTATATGAACGTGGTTGGGTCCAAGTGGGTCTTCAAAATCAAACGGCATCCTGATGGCTCGATTGAACGTTACAAGGCTCATCTTGTTGTGTAGGGTTTTACCCAAGTTTTGGGAGTTGACCTCACTGATACCTTCAGCCCTGTGGTCAAACCGGCAACTGTACGTATTGTTTTGTCACTTGCAATTTTCTATGGATGGGATATCCATTAGTTGGACGCCCATAATGCCTTCCTTAATGGTTTTATCACTAAGATGATTCATATGCACTAGCCGAAAAGGTTTGAGGATAGTAACTATCTGGATCATGTCTGCAAGCTTCATAAAGCTCTCTACGGTCTTAAATAGGCTCCCCGAGCCTGGTTTTCATGATTAAGTAATAAACTACATGATCTTGGTTTTCGTAGCTCTCAATGTGATCCTTCCTTATTCATCTACAGTCAGGATCAGATCATTATCTATATTCATGTTTATGTTGATGATATCATTGTTACTGGCTCTTCTTCTCTACATGTTTCTCAGCTTATTAGCAGTTTGTCTCAGACTTTTTCTCTAAATGATTTGGGGTCATTACACTATTTTCTTGGCATTGAGTCTCACCGTGATACCTCAAGGTTGTTTCTCTCTCAATGCAAGTACATATTGGATCTCCTGTTGAAAACTAATTTTACTGCAGCCAAACCAGTTTCCAGTCCATTGGCCACCTCTTCTCGTCTCTCTCAGTTTGATGGCGAGTTACTCCCTTATCCCACTCAGTATAGGAGCATAGTGGTGCACTCTAGTACGTCACTCTTACTAGGCCGAATGTTGCTTTTGCAGTTAATAAGGTTTGTTAGTTTTTGCATGCCCCTACTATTAAGCACTAGAATGCAGTTAAACGTATTCTATGGTATTTGAAGGGTTCCATTGGCACTGGTTTATTTTTCTTGGCTCACACATCGGAGACATTGACTGCTTACTTCGATGCTGACTGGATTGGTTGCCCTAACGACAGACAATCTACTGGTGGCTATGGTATCTTTCTTGGTTCTCATTTGATCTCGTAGAGTGCTAAGAAACAACCAACTATTGTCCGCTCTAGTACTGAAGCTGAGTTCCGAGCTCTAGCAAATGCCACTACCGAACTCTTGTGGCTAAATTCTCTTCTTTCCGATTTGGGAGTCAAACTTTAATCTCCACTAGTTCTCTATTGTGATAATATTGGGGCTACATATCTTGCAGCTCATCCCATTTTCCATGCTCGTACTAAATATATTGAGGTTGATTTTCATTTCCTTCGGGATCTTATCATTAAGAAGTGTCTGATCATGCAATTCCTGCCCACACAAGATCAACTTGCTGATATCTTCACTAAGCCTCTTTCTTTTCAACGGTTTGGATGGCTTAGGTCCAAGCTTCAAGTGCTTCCAGCCCACTTTCGCTTGAGGGGGTGTATTGAGGAGCTGGCCAACCCTAGGTTAGTGTGAACATCCAAATTGAACTTGGGGTTCACCCCATGGCTGAAACAGTATAGAGCCGCTACTCATCGAAGAAAAGAACATAGAAGTGATGGGCCTCCCATGTTCAAGAAAGTAACAAGACATGACTCACATGTGATCCCAAAAGAGACTATTCTAGGTACTTTATAGGAGAGAGAGGGAAGGTATTAGGCACCCTTCTCCCACAATTGGTAAGTGGTACCATTCCCATGATTTAGTGAAAAAGAAGACAAAAAAAAGTAGAAGGAATTAGGCCTACAAGAATGATAGTAATTTTATGGATCAAAGAGGGTGATTGTCATAGGGGATTCCTATCTCAAATGATTTAACCTTCCCATTCTCAATTTGGGTGGGGAAAACCTTTAAAGGAGCAAAGGAGTTGGCAACTACATGCCACCCTCCTTTATCCAAGGTTGCCCTCATTCCTACCAAGCAAATGGGAATAGGAAAGCCACAAGTGATTTACTCCCCTATGAAAATACCTTACAATTGTGATTCCCAACATAAAAATTCAAGAAAAAAAAAATAATTAACCTAGATGTGATTTTCTTTCTTCTTTCTTCTTCTCCTTCTTCTTCTTCTTTCTTCTTCTCCTTCTTCTTCTTCTTTCTTGCTTCCTTTGGCCGAATGGAAATTCTTTGTTCTCTCCCTTTTTCTTGGTTGAGAGGAAGTGGAAGGTGTAAGTGATGGAGATGGAGAGTGGTGGAACTGGAGCTTGGTTTCATTAATGGAGAAAGGAGGAGTTCGGTGGCTAGGGGGAAGGGGGAATGGAGAGAATGAGAATGTAGAGAGTGTGAGAGAGAGGAGAAGAGCGTTGCTGGTTCGGTTCTTGAAAGGGAGAAGACCATGGAAGAAGCAAGAGAGTCCCCCCAAAAGTCTTTTTATTCGGATAGTTTTTTCTCCTCTTTTTTTATTATTTCATTTTGTTTAAATCGAAGGGAGTTGGATTGGTTTGGTTTGGCTAGAACTAAATTAGATGGGTTGGGACCGAATTTGGAGACTTCTGGTTAGGGTTTAAGTGTGAGAGGCTAGGATTTTGGGCTTGGTTTTCAAAAGAGATGGATGGCTAGGATCTTTTGTATACTAATCTACGGGATGGGAGGGCTCTAGATCTTCTTTCATTTTTTTTTTCCTTTTTTCTTCTTTTTTTTATTGGCTTTACTTATTTGACCGAATTAATGCCAGGGGACAGCCTTCCTTGAAAGGCTCCCCCCTTTGTCTCCCCCATTTATGGATAGAATTGGGGATGTTTATCCGATAAGAGCGAATCAAGATGTAACAATAAATAACACAAGTGGAGAATAAGACCTATGCTTTATTTAGCAGTAGGAACATTTTTATCCATTAGTGTAAGCTGAGCCCTCGGCCATAGGATTTATCCATACATCAACATTATCCATTTGAGGGCATCTGGCCACTCACACTAACAATACTATCCCAAATGTACTTTTACCCAACAATTTTTGACCCTGGGCTGACCCGTCATTCTCCTATTCGATTATATAGTTTTGTGTGATGATGCCTTTGCACATGATTATATGCATGTGTCATTGCCTTTTATCTATGGTGCAATCTGATGTGCTCAGCGATGAATAAGCTCTATGTGGGCCGTGCAACCCAAGTATCAGGTTTTAGTCTTTATAATTCGATCGAGGAAGACTGTAAGATAGAGCCGATGCCCAATTTCAGGGTTAATCAACTGTAAGTGTTACAAAGAAAAATATTTAGGCCATATTTTCTCTGAATAGTATTACGAGTTGAAAGGATAGTGTTCAATGTGACATAATGACGAAAAAAACCCTGATGACTTACATTATTACACTAAAAAAAACCATTAACATCTCTCAATGACAAACTTCCAGCACTGGTTAAATAATTCTGCATATCTACTCGAATTCTTGCAAGCAATAAACTGAATATTTTATGGGCACGATTTGGGTCGTGGTTTTAATTAGACTATAAACAACACCAAAGTTGATATAATTTAGCAAAGAAAAAAGAATAAAATGCGATTTTTAATAACAAGTTCGATCTTACAAGTCTTCTCGGAACGTAAAGATCGAGTTAAATAAAATTTTGACCGTGACAAATTCCTCCGCTATAATGACAAATAAATTAATCAGTTGAAGGTTGGGATGGATTCAAGCCCAGCCGAGCCGAATACTATGAGGTTCAAGCTCAGTTTGAGACTGTTCTATAAGACTTGAGTTCGAGTTTGAGTTCGGTCGAGATAGAATCTTGAGCTTGAGTTCGGCTTGAGTATAAGCTCTAGCTCAGCTTCATTTGAGGTCAATTTTTGAGAAAAAATATTTTATAAAAATAAAAATTATATATAAAAATATTTTTTATTTGATATTTAAAATATTAAGAATTATAATAATTAATAATTGTA